GTGTCTGGAGTTAATTCCCCCCTCATTAAGCCATGTCTGGAGTTAATTACCCTCTCAGCCATATCTGCAGTTAATCACCTCTCCTTAAGCCATGTCTAGAGTTAATTACCCTCTCATTAACCATGTCTGGAGTTAATCACCCCCTCATTAGCTATGTCTGGAGTAAATATCCCTCTCATTAAGCCATGTCTGGAGTTAATTCCCCCCTCATTAGCTGTGTCTGGAGTTAATTACCCCCTCGTTAGCTGTGTCTGGAGTTAATTACCCCCTCGTTAGCTGTGTCTGGAGTTAATTACCCCCTCATTAAGCCATATCTGGAGTTAATTCCTTCCTCATTAGCTGTGCCTGGAGTTAATACCCCACCCATCAAACCATGTCTGGAGTTAATTACCGCCCTCATTAGGTGTGTCTGGAGTTAATTACCCCCTCAGCCGTGTCTGGAGTTAATTCCCCTCATTAGCTGTGTCTGGAGCTAATTACCCCCTCAGCCATGTCTGGAGTTAATTACCCCCTCATTAAGCCATGTCTGGAGTTAATTACCCCCCTCATTAGCTGTGTCTGGAGTTAATTCCCCTCAGCTGTGTCTGGAGTTAATTACCCTCCCCCCTCATTAAGCCATGTCTGGAGTTAATTACATTAAGCCATGTCTGGAGTTAATTACCCCCCTCATTAGGTGTGTCTGGAGTTAATTACCCCCTCAGCCGTGTCTGGAGTTAATTCCCCTCATTAGCTGTGTCTGGAGCTAATTACCCCCTCAGCCATGTCTGGAGTTAATTACCCCCTCATTAAGCCATGTCTGGAGTTAATTACCCCCCTCATTAGCTGTGTCTGGAGTTAATTCCCCTCAGCTGTGTCTGGAGTTAATTACCCTCTCACTAGCCATGTCTGGAGTTAATTACCCCCTCATTAGGTGTGTCTGGAGTTAATTACCCCCTCAGGTGTATGGAGTTAATTCCCCTCATTAGGTGTGTCTGGAGTTAATCACCCCCCTCCCAAGCCATGTCTGGAGTTAATTACCCCCCTCATTAGGTGTGTCTGGAGTTAATTACCCCCTCAGCCGTGTCTGGAGTTAATTCCCCTCATTAACTGTGTCTGGAGCTAATCACCCCCCTCCCAAGCCATGTCTGGAGTTAATCATCCCCCTCCCAAGCCCCGTCTGCAGTTAATTAGCCCCTCGTTAGGCTAATTGGGGGCACACTTACACACATGTGGCCGCGCAGGGCCTCGGTGACGCGGAACTGGGACTCACAGCGGGGACAGACCTTGCGGCCGCCGTCCTGCAGCTCCAGCCCGGCCACGGGCGAGGCGCTGCCTGCGGGGAGAGGAGGATCAGAGCCCCAAATTCCTGCTCCAGGAATTCCCTGGGGTTTATCCCATGGAAAAGCCAAAATTCCCGGATTTTTGTGTAGAAAACCCCCAATTTCCTGGGTTTTTCACGTAGAAAATCCTGAAATTCCTGCATTTATCCCATGGAAAATCCCCACTTCCCAGGCTTTTCCTGGGTTTTTCCCATAGAAAATCCTGAAATTCCAGCATTTATCCTGTAGAAAATCTCCAATTCCCTGGGTTTTTCCCATAGAAAATCCTGAAATTCCAGCATTTATCCTGTAGAAAATCCCCAATTCCCTGGGTTTATCCCATAGAAAATCCTGAAATTCCAGCATTTATCCTGTAGAAAATCTCCAATTCCCTGGGTTTTTCCCATAGAAAATCCTGAAATTCCAGCATTTATCCTGTAGAAAATCTCCAATTCCCTGGGTTTTTCCCATAGAAAATCCTGAAATTCCAGCATTTATCCTGTAGAAAATCTCCAATTCCCTGGGTTTATCCCACAGAAAATCCCCAATTCCCTGGGTTTAACCCCTAGAAAATCCTGAAATTCCTGGGTTTTTCCCATAGAAAATCCTGAAATTCCCGTGTTTATCCCATAGAAAATCCCCAATTCCCTGGGTTTATCCCATTGAAAATTTGAGGGATATACATCAACTATGGACTCCCAAATCCAATGAAATTTATGGGATTTACCCCAAATTTTCCCACCAAAACCCATGGGATTCACCCCAAATTTCCCCACCAAATCCCATGGAGTTTGAGGGATATAAATCAACTTTGGGCTCCCAATGCCATGGAATTTATGGGATTTACCCCAAATTTTGCCACCAAATCCCATGGGATCCACGAGATTTACCCCAAATATTTCACCAAATCCCGCAGGATTTATGGGATTTACCCCAAATTTCCCCACCAAATCCCACAGGATTTACCCCAAATTTCCCCACCAAATCCCACGGGATTCACCCCAAATTTCCCCACCAAACCCCACACGATCCACACAATCCCCCCACCTTTTTCCTCCCCACCCCCTGGAGCACCCCCAGAACCCCATCCCCTCCTCCCCGGATCCAGCAATTCCCGGATTTTTTTAATTTAAAATTTAAATGTAAAAAACTCCCCATTTTTTACCTTTCCTGGGCGCGGAGGACGCGGCGGCCTCGGCGTTGCCGCGCTGCTGCCCGGCGCCGGGGCCGCAGTTGGGCGCGGCCAGCGCGGCGGGGCCGGGGGCCAGCGAGGGCACCGTGCCCACCGTGTTCACCAGCTTGGCAACCTCGGGGCCGCCGGAGCCGTCGCCGGGAACGCCCGGGCGCTTCACCGTCACGAAGCTGGCGATGCTCACTGCACCGGGAGAGAGGGGGAGAGAATTCCCAATTCGTGGAATTCCCCGAAGGAATTCCGCCCGACTGGGGCATTCTCACTTCGGGCTTCACCAGGGGAGGGTTTGGGTGGAATTCCCATGGAATTCCAGCCAGGAATTCACAGACGGAACCCCTTTTGACCCCAAACTGCCCCACACTCTCCTCATCTCCCAGTCTATGTTTGGATGAAATTCCAATGGAATTCCAACCAGGAATTCACAAACTGAACCAGTTTTCAGCCAGAGCTGACCCAGATGCTCCTCATTTCCCAGTCTATGTTTGGATGAAATTCCAATGGAATTCCAGCCAGGAATTCCACGTTTTGACCCCAAACTGCCCCAAGACTCTCTTCATTTCCCAATCAACATTTGGACAAAATTCCAACGGAATTCCAGCCAGGAATTCCAACTTTTGACCCCAGACCCTCCTCATCTCCCAGTCCATGTTTGAACAAAATTCCAATGGAATTCCAGACAGGAATTCCAACTTTTGACCCCAAACCGCCCCAGTCTCTCCTCATTTCCCAACCTATACATGGACAAAACTCCAACGGAATTCCAGCCAGGAATTCCAACTTTTGACCCCAGACCCTCCTCATCTCCCAGTCTATGGACAAAATTCCAACGGAATTCCAGCCATGAATTCCCACTCTTGACCCGCTTTTGACCCCGAACCTCCCCAGCCCCTCCTCATTCCCCACCGCACCAAGAACCCCCCGCCCAACGCCGCCCCCGCGGATTTTCCCGCCGGGAATTCCCTGCGGAATCCGGGATAAAAACACGGGAATAAGGGAGGAGGGACTCACTCTGCTGGGGCACCTGGGCCTGGGGCACGGTGCTGCGGAGGGTCAGCGTGGCCGGGATGACGGTGGCGAAGGCGTTGGTGGCCGGCCGGCCGGGCCCGGCGCTGCCCGCTCGCACCTGAGCCACCGGCGAGAACACCTGCGGCACGCCCACCGCCGGCTTCACAAACTGCGTCCCCGGGGCTGAAAACACGCGGCGGTCAGCGGCGGGAAAAGTGGGGAAAAGTTGGGAAAAGCTGGGATTTGGAGGATTGTTTCTAGGTGGGATTGATCCTGAGTTATGATATTGTACTTGGAATTAATTAATTCCTACCACCCTCTTCACAAACTGGGTGCCCGGGGCTGAAAACACGCGGCGGTCAGCGGCTGGAAAAGTTGTGAGACTATGG